AAAGAGAAAATGAGAGAAATGATGATTCTGAGGCCACCCTATCCCAGCCATATTATTCACATATCGAGTCCCAACAGCAACAGTGTAGGGATGAGCACGAAATACTGTAAATTAAATGTTGAATGGCGGTTCATGCAGGGAAAGAACATATCAATATTCGCATATTCATTCAAAAACATGAAAATTTTTAATGGAGTACCCTCATTTTTTATTGAATTCCTAAAAAACAATATTTATAATGAATTTTAATAATTTTTTAAGCTTTATTCTGACCGATTCACCCGATTCCCGATCAGGATCGCCGATTCGCCGATCCGGATCAGTTTTTTGGAAGCCCGATCCGGATCACCGATCCGTTTTTTAAACCATTGATTCTTACTATTCTATATTTCCTTGAAAAATGAGCTCAACATACACTAAAGGGCCGTTTGGATATATGAAAATATATTATTTGTGAAATATATTACTGACATAATACATTACTGCATAATACATTACATGCAAATGGATTGTTACTGATGGGGTAGTATTTAGATGCAACCTAGGAAATATATTGCTCTTAATATGGTATATGAAACTGTCCACATTGCACATTAAATGTGCTCTTACTGGATATAGCGATTTAATATGGAATTGTCTACAAAGAGACCATTTATCTTTTGTACGCACAATCTTTTTTGTTCTTTAAATTTCAAAATGGGTGGTTGTACTAGTGTCATTGAATAAAATACAAAATTTCAAAAAATAAATTCACTACATGATTCACCTCAAACCATCAAATTTGACATCTAATAGTTGAGAATGATTGTGACCTCCATTCACAAAAGCTAAATGGTCTCTTTATAGACATTCCTATTTAATATTGAAATGCATATGTATTGATAGCATGACTATACCATGCTTGTCATGCCTCAAAGAATAATAACTTAATAATGTGAATTAATATTGGTTATAAACATTGAGTGAACTATTTTACTCACAACCTTTAAATATCATTAATTTGTAGTTTAAATAGTAAATGGTGATGTATTTTAAAATTTTTTTATTGTGAAATGGTAAAATATTTTAAAAATTAGATTGCGATATTGAAGGATGCTAATGTGAAAAAAATAAATACAACTAATATATTGTAAGCAAATTATCACTTCTTTATCTGTATGTAAACTCTAATCCCAAAACATCTGTTTTTTTCAAAAGCGTAATCATTATAATTTAAATAAAATATAATTTATCGTTGTTTTGTCTTGATCTAAACGCTAATCCCAAAACAATCTTTTATTTTCTTCAAAAGATCAGTAATCATTATAATTTATCAAAAAAACATTATAAAATATAATTTATCAAAAAATCCTTAAAAAAAAAAAATAGCTTTAGATGTATGCTACAACCCAAATTGGGGATATAGGGATATAGAAATGGATGTGATAGTGTAGAAATGGATGTGCATAGGCAAATACGTGGAGTTTAGAGAGAGAGTAGAAATGGATATGCACAGGAGAGGGAGAATGGATGTGCATACAGGAGAATAGCAAAAGTTAGAGAATTGTTTTTGGCAAGAGACGCGCGTAGTTAGATTACCCGTTAAGCGCTTAATGGGTTTCACGACCATCCTGTGCGTAATACATTTCACGTATTTGGAGTAATCTTATGTAATTTATTTCGATTTTCTTAGAGTTGAAGTGTACATAGTAAATCTCATATTTACTTGTAATTGTTTTCCTTTAATAGATTTTCATGTACCCAAACGGCCTCTAATTGTTCATGATATTTTAAAGAAGGTGGAGGTATTTAAATAACTTGGAGTTAATCAAGTGAAATTCATAAAAGAGTCACTAGTATCTAGCTTTGTTCAATTGTTTTTTAACCGTTCCTTATTTTTCTCTTTCTCTATTCATACCTATTCACT